AAGGAGTGTGTCCCACTGTCGAATAGCTCTTACTGTCACGAAGTTTCTCCTCATGTTAAAGTGGGATCTCTTTTCCTGTACTTTGCACCCTTTGCTCCGTGTCCTGCTAGTTTCTTAGGCACATACGCAGTGGTAGAATTCAAAGATATAGCCGTGTTAGTCTGTAGAATCAGTATGTAAAGAGATCTTATAAGTGAAAGAAAGAATTTGGCAGCATGAGCTTTGGTACACTTCAGTCCACTTCCTCAGATGCATTAGACTGAAGCAGACTGAAGTCTACGAAGGCTCATGCTGCCAACTTCTTTCTTTCAGTTAGGGCCTGAACAGACTGCCAGAAATAATCCAGCTTGAGACCACTTTAACTGCCCTGGCTCAATGCTAGGGAATCATGGGCATTGTAGTTTTTTCTGAGACATTGAGCCTTCTCTGTAAGAGACCTTTGGTGCCACAATAAACTGCAGTTCCCATGATTCCAAAACTACAGTTTCCATTATTCCCCAGCACTGATCCAGGGCAGTTAAAGAGGTCTCAAGATGGATTATTTCTGGCAGTCTGTTCAGGCCCTTAGGGTCTTTACAGACTGCCAGAAATAATGCAGCTTGAAGCCACTTTAACTCTTCTGGCACAGTGCTAAGGAATCATGGGAACTGTAGTTTATTGTGGCACCAGAGCTCTCTGACAGAGAAGGCTCAATGTCCCAGAAAAAAATACAATTCCCATGATTCCCTAGCACTGAGCCAAGACAGTTAAAGTGGACTCAAGCTGCATTATTTCTGGCAGTGTGCCTTCAAGTCATTTTCGACTTCTTGAGGTGAACCAATCCTGGGGTTTTCTTGGCAAGAGCTGTTCAGAAGAGGTTAGCCATTGCCTTCTTCTGAGGCTGAGAGATTGTGACTTGCCCTAAGTTACATGGACCCCTATAGTGAAGGGAACCTAGAGGTTCAACAAGTACCAACTATGGCTCATCTGGGAGGGGGGAAACATCACCCCAAGGAAACATCATGGGAAGATTAGCAGGAGTAAGAGTAGTACTGGTTGTCATAACTAGTGAAAGGGATGAGTTTAGTACAGTTCTGCATATGTGTCTGAATTGCAACTCCCAGCAGGCCTGGCCAGTGTAATGAATTGTGGGAGCTGCACTTCAAAGGTATAGGGTTCCCTCCTCTGCAGTGTCAAATGGCAAAAGCAAAGCCACACACAACAAGCCACAAAACAGCTGTTTCTAGATGCTCAAAAGACTTTCCTTACACCCCCTAACACAGAGATTAGGATAGTATTAATTCCATATATGGGATAAGAAAAGTGGAAGAAAGTAACTTACCTAAAGTTACCAGGGGAATTCTGGCTAATATATGTATTATATACATAATATGTATATGTATATGTATATGTATATGTATATGTATATGTATATGTATATGTATACATATATAATGTAATATATGTTCCTGGTTCAGGGCAGGTTGATTCACAATTTCTTAACCACTACTTGCTTAATTATTACTAATAATTAATTATGATTGGTTTATTATTAACGTGTGAGCCAGTGTAGTGGTTTGAGTGTGAGACTAAGGGGGGTTGCAGACTGCCAGAAATAGTGCAAATTGAGTCCACTTTTAGGGTTAGGGTTAGGGAATCATGGGGACTGTAGTTTATTGTGGCACCAGAGCTCTCTGACAGAGAAGGCTCAATGCCTCAGAAAAAAATAAAGTTCCCATGATTCCCTAGCACTAACCCTAACCCTAAAAGTGGACTCAATTTGCACTATTTCTGGCAGTCTGCAACCCCCCTAGGACTCTGGAGACCAGGGTCTGAATCCTGGTTCAGCCATAGAAACCCACTGGATGGCTTTGGGCAAGTCACATTCTCTCAGCCTCAGAGAAAGGCAAAAGCAAGAAAACTCATTACAGTGTCGCCATAAATCTGAAACAACTTAAAGGCACACAACAACTACATGTTACCATTGACTTTGACTGTAGAGCACATCATTGATTTAGGAATATGCAAGCGAATAATACCAGTTTTGTTCTTTTCTTTTAGGAGATGCTGAATATATATAAATATTTTAAATAAATAACCTATCAAAGTTTAAGGACCCCTTTGGATGTTGCAATTAAATATTACTCTCTTCTTATTGTACATATTCATTGGGGGGGGGGATTATGATTTGCAACCTAAAGTTTCTGTCCACTAAACCCTCTCCTCTTCTCTCCCACTAGATATTAGAAAGTTATAGGATCATGGAATGTATTAGCTGAA